TTCTTTGGTAACCCACCCTAGAGTTGTTGTTCCATTCAAAACTGTTGCTCCTTTGGTCCAGGAGTTTCCTGAGTCTATCCAGGGAGGAAGTCATGCTTTCTGTGTGAAAGGAGATTTCACTAGGGCCAGATGGGAATTAACTCTAAAGAGTCACCATAACTGTCAATCACATTCCTTATTTCTGGTCTTCATGTTGACAGCATTTAGATTGGGACCCTTTTTCTATCTAGTCACAGGGTAGAAATCATAATTGCACATTTCATTTCTTATTATAAATGATAATAAACTCATTGCCAGTCTCCCAAAGGATTTAACAACCGGTTTGTCAGAGCATTTGATTCTTGTTGTTCAGTGTAGCCAACCTTATTAAATTCATAGAGTTACTCTGTTTTGTAGCATAATTAAAATCATATTCTGCCTTTTGTAGAAACTTATAAAAATACAAAATTGTCATGTTTTTCATACAAATACAGTGACAGAATATATAGGAATTTGTAATAACTTACTATTTTTTTAAATGATAGAATTAAATATTTGTTTCTGAATTGAAGTTGTGCTAAGTCTAGTATAGAAAAACTAGTTCATCAATCCAGACTTGGAAGGAATCAGTGAGACAGATAAGGGCACTTCTCTACCACTGCATTATGTATCAGTGCAGAGCCTATGCAGTCAGTGGAAACATGAAAAAGCCTCATAAGAAGGTATACCCAGAGTTGATAAGACAGTATACCAGGAGAGGAATGGAGTAGGTTGCAGACAGAGACCAAGCACTTTTATTATTCCTGTTACTGAGGAAGTACAGAATTTTCTCTACTGGAAAAAACTATTAATTTATTTGAGAAGGAGAAAGGGAGTGGGGAAGACAGAGAGCAAGCTAGAGCTTCCATTCACTGCTTTACTCCTCAAATGTTCCGAAAAGCTGGAACTGGGCTAGGGACAAATTTGGAAGCTAGGAACACAACATGTGGTGGCAGAAACCAAACGACTTGAGCCATCATTTCTACCTCCAAGGGTCTGTATTAGCAGGAAGCTGGAATCAGGAGCTGCAACTAGGAATAGAAGCCAGGCACTCAGGTGTGAGATGTGGGTGTCTTAACTTGGGTCTTAAATATTTTAGGCTGAATTCACATTTCAGAAATACTGTATTTAAAAAGACTTCTTAAGGAGATGAATGTCTGGTTAACCCATGGTTAACATCATTTAAAACCTGCTCATGTTCTATTTCTGGGTCCTGTTTGGATTCCTTTGAAATGTTAATTCAGGGGTATCAACATTCTACCTAGAAAACTGGTCTTAATGGAAGAAGTGACTGTTAGGAAGGATGTGGGTGTTATTTAGAGAGAAAACACACCTACTATGGCCTTCAGTACATTCCTGCCCATTGGTAATGGTTGCTCCTCCTATTGATCCTTGGAATTTCATAAAAGAGAACTAACATCCCAAGTGAGTAGAATTATTGGCACCAACGACTTCTTCAGTTTCACTTCTTAGGTTAGTTTTTTAGGGCTGCCATAACAAAATACCGTGTCTGGGTGGCTTAAGAAAATAGAAGTTTAATTTCTCACAAATCTGGGGCTGGAAGTCAAGATCAAGGTGTCCAGCAGTTTGGTTTCTCTTGAGGCCTTTCTTCTCCATCTGCAGATGGCCAACTTCTCATTGCATCCTCAGATGGCTTTTTCTCTGCACTTGATCACTCCTGGTATCTTTTCTTCTTCATTTAAGGATAGTGGTCCTCTTGGATCAGGACCCCACCCTTATGATCTCATTTAACCTTGATTACCATTTTAAAAGCCCTATATCTAAATATGATCATATTTCTTCACCATCTGAATTTTTAAGAGTGTGTTTCAGGCCGGTGCCTTGGCTCACTAGGCTAATCCTCCACCTTGTGGCGCCGTCGCACCAGGTTCTAGTCCCGGTCAGGAAGCTGGATTCTGTCCCGGATGCCCCTCTTCCAGACCAGCTCTCTGCTGTGGCCAGGGAGTGCAGTGGAGGATGGCCCAAGTGCTTGGGCCCTGCACCCCATGGGAGACCAGGATAAGTACCTGGCTCCTGCCATCGGATCAGCGTGGTGCGCTGGCCGCAGCGCCCCGGCCGCGGTGGCCATTGGAGGGTGAACCAACGGCAAAAAGGAAGACCTTTCTCTTTGTCTCTCTCTCTCTCACTATCCACTCTGCCTGTCAAAAAAAAAAAAAAAGAGTGTGTTTCAGTCCATAGTACTTTTTTTTTTTTTTTTTTTTTATTTATTTTTTTTTTTTTTTGCAGTTTGTACATTTTTTTTTATTTTTTTTTATCTTTTATTTAATGAATATAAATTTCCAAAGTACGTCTCATGGGTTACAATGGCTTTCCCCCCCATACCGTCCCTCCCACCCACCACCCTCCCCTTTGCCACTCCCTCTCCCCTTCCATTCACATCAAGATTCATTTTCGATTATCTTAGTATACAGAAGATCAGCTTAGTATACCTTAAGTAAGGATTTCAACAGTTTGTTCCCACACAGAAACATAAAGTGAAAAATAATAGATGATTTTTTTTTAAATGATGATGAAATCAGATCAGACCTATTGTCATGTTTAATCCCAGTGAGAGTCAAGTTGGGAATTGATAGTTTCTTTTCTTTCTTTCTTTTTTTTTTTTTTTAACAGAAAATCAGTTTAGTGTACATTAAGTAAAGATTTCAACAGTTTGCACCCCCATAGAAACACAAAGTGAAATATACTGTTTGAGTACTCGTTATAGCATTAAGCCTCAGTGTACAGCACATTAAGGACAGAGATCCTACATGAGGAGTAAGTGCACAGTGACTCCTGTTGTTGACTTTACAAATTGACACTCCTGTTTATGGCATCAGTAATCTCCCTATGCACCAGTCATGAGTTTCCAAGGCTATGGAAGCCCCTTGAGTTCTCCGACTCTTATCTTGTTTAGACAAGGTCATAGTTAAAGTGGAGGTTCTCTCCTCCCTTCAGAGAAAGGCACCTCCCTCTTTGAAGACCTGTTCTTTCCACTGGGATCTCACTCACAGAGATCTTTTTGCCAGAGTGTCTTGGCTTTCCATGCCTGAAATACTCTCATGGGCCATAGTACTTCTCATGCTATTATGTTTGGTGGGAAACATCGATTGAAATGTAGGAATACTAGATATCTCAGAAAAATGCTTGAAAGTGATGACACTTGGGTGAAATGTACCAGGTGGAAGTGCAACCATATTTAAAAGCTATGTATTTTGAACCCACTGTGTTATACTCTAGAGATACTGTGAGTAAATATCTCCTCACACCACACACATAAAACACAAAGAATGAGAGACATTTAGCAAAGAAAACAAATAGATTAGTATTTATTTTGTGTATTATCAAATTATATAAGGATTGCTTTCAATTTTAACTTCAAAAAGGATTGATTTCTTATAGATGAGGTCAGGGATATTTTAAAAATTAGGTGCTAATTACTATTTTAGTCCTTTTTGTGATGCTGCAACAGAATATCACACACTAGGTAATTTATAAACAGTAGAAGCTTATTTTTGTCTGTGATTTTGGAGGCTGGGAAGTCCAATGAGACACATGTGGTGGGGACCTTCTTGCTGTGTAACATGGAGGAAGGCTTTGCATTGTAAGGGAGCATGTGACAGGTGGCAAGAGAGGGCCAATTTCACTTTCATCAATGTCCACACTTGAGATAATGGACTCACTCCTGTGGTGATAACTTTAGTCCATTTATGAGGGCAGAGCCCTCATGATCTAATCGCCTCTTAAAGGTCTGCCTCCATTGCATTGGAATTAAGTTTCCAATGCATTATCTTTGGGAAGCATATTCAAATCATTGAAGTTAAGATGTGGATCCAGGAAAATGATAAAAGGGCAATGTCCCAGGCATGGCTGGGGGGGAAAGTTTATAGATCTGTGGTAGGAAACCGAGGGAATTTGATGGTATGTTCATAATTAGTGCTATTCAGTTATTTCTTGTGTATGATCCATTTTTTTTTGGATCATACTTCCCTGTCCACAGTGAGTGACCATGAGACTTGCTTTGGTCATTAAATTGTAGTCAACATCTTTTAAGATGAAATCCCTAGTGTCAGTGGATGATTTGCCACCCTTACCTTTTTTCTTTGACAAAGTGATTCAGAATGTTCCAAAGAGTGACATATTGGGCCGGCGCCGCGGCTCACTAGGCTAATCCTCCGCCTAGCGGCGCCGGCACACTGGGTTCTAGTCCCGGTCGGGGTGCCGGATTCTGTCCCGGTTGCCCCTCTTCCAGGCCAGCTCTCTGCTGTGGCCTGGGAGTGCAGTGGAGGATGGCCCAGGTGCTTGGGCCCTGCACCCCATGGGAGACCAGGAAAAGCACCTGGCTCCTGGCTCCTGCCATCGGATCAGCACGGTGCGCCGGCCACAGCGCGCCGGCCGCGGCGGCCACTGGAGGGTGAACCAATGGCAAAGGAAGACCTTTCTCTCTGTCTCCCTCTCTCACTGTCCACTCTGCCTGTCAAAAAAAAAAAAAAAAAAAAAAGAGTGACATATTAGCAAGGAAGTTGAGTGAGAATGGTATGGAGCTGACCCAGGTGATCCACAATCAACAGGTAGCATGCACCAAAAACAAGAAGGTAATAGCATTGATTGTTAATGCTTCATAATCTATTCTATCCCAACTATAATTTTGGTCTCTGTTTTCTCTAAAACGTCAGAAGGGAAATTTTTCTAAACTGAACTCTAAAATGAAATTATTATTTATTTTAAAGTCAATCTAGCTTATCAATCATAGTCACCAAGTTTATACAATTGGTTGAAAAGAGAAGAAATGACTGACATGTTCATGTCAGGATTTTGATTTTTTTTTTTCACATCGAAGCAGTAATGACTCAGTTGTAACAGTACAAAATAGCTTTCTTGAAATATGCATAATAGATATGCTATGTTGAGTAGTTTCAAAAATATAAAGTTGACAAAGGAAACCTCATTTACTAAAAATCTAATTTAGAATGTTACCTTTATAGATTTCCATATAATAAAAAGATAAAATCACAATATGGAAATATACACAAAGCCAGAGGCAAGATTTAATGGACTCCTAAAGACATCAAGAATGCCTCTTATACTCAAGCATCAAGCCATACACAGGAATTTAAGAACCAAGAGGAAGAAGGCTGAAGATCGGATTTTGATTCATGATAAAAATATGTGAAGGTTAGTGGTTTTGTTTAATCATTTAATCTGAAAACTAGTGTCTGCTTGGGAAAAAATATATAGACTGTTGTATGCATATGTATACATGAGGGTACTTCAAAAAGTTCAGGGAAAATAGAATTAAAAGACAGTCTAGGAGCTGGCACTGTGTCACACTAGGTTAATCCTCCGCCTGCAGCGCCAGCATCCCATATGACCGCCAGTTCTAGTCCTGGTTGCTCCTCTTCCAGTCCAGCTCTCTGCTGTGGCCTGGGAAGGCAGTGGAGGATGGCCCAAGTGCTTGGGCCCCTGCACCCATATGGGAGACTTTGAAGAAGCACCTGACTTCTGGCTTCGGATCGGCGTAGCTCTGGGCGTAGCGGCCATTTGGGGAGTGAACCATCAGAAGGAAGACTTTTCTCCCTGTCTCTCTCTCTCTCACTGTCTGTAACTCTGCCTGTCAAATAAATAAATAAATAAATAAAATCTTTTTTTTTTAAAAAAGACAGTCTATTTTGGTATAAACAATTTTGAAATCAGTGCTTTTGAAGGTTAATGAAATTGCAAAAAATATGAAAAACAATGCATTTCAATTTTTTTGCACTAAAATGAAATTATCTTTTAATTCCATTTCCATGAACTTTAAGTACCTTCCTTTCTCTCTCTCTCTCTCTTTTGATCTCTCTTACACAGACACACACACACACACACACACACATATTTTTTAAAAGCCTACATAGTCATGCATATAAAATTTAGAACATGATTTGCTACTAAGAGACTTTTTAATCTTGTTTTATTCTAGTTTAAAACATTCTTTAAAAAATTATTTTTTATAAAGACTTTTAAAAAAGGCAAGAAAAATTTTGTTTCATCTTAAACTCAGTCATCATCCAGAATCACACCTTCATGTGTTTACTTGGATTTTTTAAATAAATAACAAAAATAATGCAACTTCTTTCACACTTCTAATTTCTGACCGCAGATTAAATCGTCAGTAATGGTATTGCTACATCCTAGATCCTGAGTGCTATTTTTGAACGGATTAAGGTAAATTCAGAGCCCCTTATTGAAGCTTCAGTTCGTAACAATATTTGCACAATATAGGGATAGATAAGCAAGTATGTCTGTCTAAAAAGAAATCTATTTTGGGGCTGATGTTGTGGCACAGTAGACCTGTGATGCCAGCATCTAATATGAAGCGCTAGTTTGAATACAGCTTCCAGTTAATACACCTGGGAATGCAGAAGAATATTGCTCACGTGGTCACTCATGTGGGAGACCTAGATGGAGTTTCATGTTCCTGGCTTCATTTTGGCCCAGACTGGAATATTGAGGCCATTTTGGGAAGTGAACAGGGACTGGAAGGTCTCTTGTTCGCTTGCTTGCTCTCTTTCTTATTTTCTGTAACTGTCTTGAAACTGGTAAAAGATTGATATCCAGGATCTATGAAGAGCTGAGGAAACTTAACACCAGCAAAACAAACAAATGGGCAAAGGACATGAATAGGCATTTTTCAAGAGAGGAAATTCAAATGGCCAACAGACACATGAGAAAATGCTCAGGATCATTAGCTATCAGGGAAATTCAAATCAAAGCTGCAATGAGGTTTCATTTCAACTGAATTAGAATGGCTGTCATAGAGAAGTGAACAAACAATAAATGCTGGTGAGGATGTGGGGAAAAAGGTACCCTAATCCAGTGTTGGTGGGAATGTTAACTGGTGTGCCTGTTGTGGAATACAGTATGGAGATACCTCAGAAATCTGAAAATAGATCTATCATGTGACCCAGACATTCCGCACCTGAGAATTTAACCAAACCAAAATAAATCAGCATCTGAAGAGTTATTTGTACCCCCATGTTTATTGAGGTCAATTCACAATAACTAAGATATTGAATCAACCCAGGTGTCCATTAACTGAAGACTGGATAAGAAAATTCTGGTATATATACACTATGGAATACTACTCAGTGACAAAAAAAAAAAAAAAGAAATCCTGTCTTTTGCAACAAGAGGGGTGCACGACCTTTATACTTAGTGAAATAAGCCAGTTCCAAAAGGACAGATACCATGTTTTCCCTGATCTTCAGTAACTAATAGAATATCTAAAATGTAAAGTATTGGAGTGAAATGAACATTTTGAGATTCGATGATTATTTATAAACCTTGTCTCTTCTGTTGAGGAAGAGTGTTTTTTATTTCTTATACTATTTGCTGAACTCTTTATTAGTGTAGGGTTAATCTTATGAGTATAAAGTAAACTGAAATGATCTTTGTAAAAATTAAGAGTGGGAATAGGTGAGGGAGGAGCAACAAGGACGTAGGTGAGAGGTTAAGTAGGGTGGAAAGTATCATTACGTTCCTAAATCTGCAGATATGAAATATATGAAATTTATATACCTTAAATATAATTTAAAAACAAAGCAAAACAAAAACCAAAAACCAAATAAACAAAGGTTTTTCTAAAAAAGAATTATATTTTATTCTAATTTAGAAATCTCAAAGATAGCTACAAAATTATGGAAAATGATGATGAGCCTCAATAGAGAATGCAAATGCCAGGTGTCCTGCTTGTGTTTCAGTGAAGCCATTTGTATTCAGCTCATTCAACTTCTATTTGGTGGAGAGCCAAAGTTATTAAAAATAGGAATCAAACAAACAAAGCCAAATAAATGAATCAGCAAGGAACAGAAAATCCAGCTCAAGGTATCCTAAAAAATGTGGAAAATTGTTGGTTCCCATTTCTCTTAAGTGTTGAGGTATCATGGACCTCAGAGCTTCTTCAACATGTATCCTCTTCATTCTGTAGGGAACGAGGGTCTCTGAGTCAGGGTTGGAAAAAAACAGTGGACCTTGGGCAAATTCCAGGAATTTACCACCCCTCTGGGGAATCCAATTACAGAACCCTTCCAAATTTGTGGATAGAGGCTGGAAGCCAATCCAAATACGACCCCCTTTGCATGCATTAGGTGATGGGCAAGTATGTAGCAGATAAAGGGCAGAGAGAAAAATAACACAAAAGAGACCAGCTCTGCTTGGGCGATGTACTCCCAGCTCTGGGGCCCCTCCTCTAGTTTCTTCTCAGACATAGGGAGCTTTTGTTACTTATCACAGATAAACTCTCGTTTGCTTTTGCATTCTCTTTTTTATTTTTATATTGAGCAACAATTTCAAAGACCAGAAGGAGCTGCTCACCCACTGCCTACCCAGGACACAATAATTCTAGAGTTTATGTTTCGTTCTTCTTCAGATTGTAAACAAGATGGTAGCCACTATTCTGGCTTTACTCAGGAATGCATTCCAAGGAAGAAGAAGAAATGCTTATGCACCTTGATCATGCAGCACACTGAAAGAATAATAGAAGTCAGGAAAATGAAATGGTCTGTTTGGTTTAAGCCAGACAGAGCCCTCCTGGGACTGAGTCACACAGACTGTGGAAGGGCTACTTAACGGAAAGGAGGAAGTAGTGAATGAAAGGGAGTTGCCACCTGGCAATAGTAGCACCTATGTATGATTAGCACATCTGTTGCTACTTTTTCTGCCAACTGTATGTTTTACCATAAGGAATTTAGGGTATTATTCTGCGGACTGAATCCTGATAGTTAAGTCAGTGATTTAATTGGGGTACCTACAGAGACTCATGTATAAAACTGTGCTGAATTTCACTGTAAAGGAACACATTCCTCAATCTTGCCCTTTTATCCAAAGAAGGTTACAAAGTTATTTTTTGCAAAGGTAGCTTTCATAAGTAGTTAATGAAGCTTCAGAGACTGCACTGCACAGTATTTGATTGTTAGAAGACCTTCACATTAATCCAGAAGTCGTTTTCAGCTCTCTATCTCTATCATTTTTTTGAAAAGATTTATTTATTTTTTATTTGAAAGCCAGAGTTAGAGAGAGGCAAGAGAGAGCGAGAATGAGAGCAAGAGAGGTCTTCCATCCACTGGTTCTCTCCCCATATGGCCACAACAGCCAGAGCTGGGCGGAACTGAATCCAGGAGCCAGGAGCTTCTTCTGGGTCTCCCACACAGGTGCAGGGGCCTAAGGATTTGGGCCATCTTCCACTGCTTTTCCAGGCCATAGCAGAGAGCTGGATCAGAAGTGGAGCAGCTGGGTCTTGAACCAGTGCTTATATGGGATGCTGGCACTGCAAGTGGCAGCTCTACCTGCTACACCACAACACCAGCCCCTTAGCTCTATCATGAAAGACATCTCCTCATTGATCAATTTATCTCCACTGATAGTGATCTTGTTCCATCCAGTTATGGACCTGGGAATGTCTCATAGACAGGGAAGCGTGTAGAGAATACAAAATCTCTAACTGTTTCCCCAAAACACATGAAGCTGTTTTTCTTATATAGATCAGTAAATTCAAAAGATTTAAAATCAAATGGGATATTTTAATTTGAGATGTAATTGTTATTTTTTCATTATTTTCAGTAAGGTTACCATTTTTGCATCCACCAGGACTTTAATTTTATACTTTATAGGCAGTATGTTATTCCTGGCATTTGTGAGAAGTCCATGTGGACTGGACAGGTTTTTATCTTTGCTTCACATCTCAGGCTGACCACCTCTGATTCCAGCCACTGGATGGGAAGCAGCTCTAGGCAGATTTGCATTTTCATAAGGCCATAGCCTTGTCTAAAGTACAAGCTAGAAATCTCTTGCTCCCTCTTTTGGGGTTCCTTTTAGTCTGTGTATTGGACCCCTGAGAGAACTACTTGGCACCCATGCATACAGGGGTGAATTAATGCCCCAGGAAGTAGTTTTAAAATTCATTCTAAAAACACCTTGAAAGTCCTGATAGAATTGAATACCTGTTGCCCATACTATTGGCCAACTCAATAAAGTGTCCTTTCAAAGAAAGATTTAGAAAAGTTGAGGCATAATTTACAGAAAACTTCACAAATTTTACATGTTCTTCATTTTTTACATAGGTATACATCCATGTCACTATCATATAAATCAACATAGAATATTCTGAGTGTCTCAGAAGTCTACCTTGTTGATTCTTGTTTTTTAATGTTATATAAATAGATTCATACTGTGTATTTTACTTGGGCCCGATTTCTTGCCCTCAATCTAATGCCAAAGTCTTCCTTTGGTGTTGCAGATTACTGGCTGCTTCTTTTTTACTGTTGTGTAGTATCCCACACTTAACCATGGATTTCCATCCTTTCCTGTGTTACGTGTCCTGTTCCTCATTGCTCTTCACTGAGATCACATCCCAAATAAACTACCTATGTGCATTGCTTCTTCTCTCCCCACATCCCTCTATAAAGGATCCCAGTGCTCCAGGGTTTTATTGTGTGATGGCAGAGAGGAGATCTCATTTTAATTTTGGCCTTAACTTGATATTTGACCTCAGAAAAGACACTTCCTCATAGAGAGGTTCAAGTTTCCTCATCTGTGAAGTGTGAGAATCCAATGTGTTTTGGTCTCAAATTTATGCAAGTCTGCAATTTGAAAGACTTCTTCTAGGGACAGTGATGCTCCACAAACAAGAAAAATGCCAGAATTTCATTCAGCAAGGACTATGGGTAAGAAGTAATGTATTTATATAGAGTGCTCTATGTTTATTCATAATTGTTTATATTGGTGCTCTGAAATATCACCACATGAATGTTTGTATCCTTGTGGCTTTTCCTGAGAGGAGATAGACTCATCTCCTGCCAAGGAGTCACAGAATAGAAAATCTTCAGTGGAAGGGGCAGCTGGAGGAATGCAGGGTTCTGTAATGGAGGAGCAGTGTCTAGATTATGGATTGCTTACTTCATTTCTCCTCTTGCCTCAGGATAACTGAAGCTGTGAAATATTTCTGAAATTATTTCTGTGGCAAAATATCAAAAAAATGCATAAATTTTATGAGGGTGGCTGATGATAAAATTGACCTGAGAATGTAGTAGGAAAAAACTCTGATGGGTGACTGACCACACTCATCTCCTCGTTTTGTGATAGTTATTTCACATTAGATCAGCTAAGCCCTTTCTAAAGTAACTACTATAAATTGCACACCCATTATAGTAATTGATTTCATATTTCACTTGTGGCTGTCACCAAGATTTACCTTTACTCGATGACAGTGTTTCCATGGCAACTAATGCATTTGAAATGATAAAGAAATGTGAAGAGCAAGAAAGATCAATTAGTAACATAGAACTCAAATTAATATATAAATGTTCGAATTTATACATGTGAAGTACAATTTTTCAACATGAACAGAATAATCCTACAATTGTGGTTAGACCTTGGTGAATGGTTCAAAATATTGGTGTTAAATAAAACTGTGTTCCATTGCACAGAA